GGTTAGGATGTAAAGGACTTTAAAAATTAATATAATAGAAAGAATCCATAAAGCTAACAGAAACAAATGAGATAAGACAAGAAAAGTATAGATTCCATTAATCACTTCTTGAGAAAAAATCGCACTTGAGGGGGAAGTATGTTATGTTCAAGTGTCAAAATCGAGGACGGTCACTATCTAGAATAAAGATTTTGGTTTCACAATTTTACTAAGAATTTTCTGACTACAAAATAAGCAAGAAAGGTTGTACACACTAGCATTTTACAGGAAATCATTACGGATCAGTGTAATATAACCTGAGATGTTATTTATATGGTGTTAATATTTTCTTCATTAGCTATAGGTGCAAACTGGTCTTTGGTTCAATAACTTACACTTATCTCATGGTTATGATTTGATGTCTTGAACATATATATTCTTTAATATATAAGTGTAGATTATCTTCCTCTCAACTATTATATATATATATATATATAAAAATTATGCTTAAATGGTGATTGAATATTTATACTCATAGGTGGAGTTTAAAGGAGGGTTTTTGAATTGCATAAACAGAGGTAGAAATCACTGTTAGTGTTTTACCTATAGGTCTTGTTGACTTCTACTCATTTAGCTATTGTCATGGAATATGCAGCTGGTAGCGAACTCTTTGCCAGAATATGCAGTACTGGTCAGTTTAATGAAGATGAGGTTGTATTATGGAGCTTGCTTCTTTAAATTACATCTTAGGTCACTTATCTCTAGTTCAATGTGTATTGTTGTGATGCAAATTGATTTTCTTAATGATTTGTTTGTTGGCAAAACCCTTCTCACAACAGGCAAGGTTTTTCTTCCAACAGCTAATATCTAGCGTCAGCTACTGTCATGCCATGGTATGATGATATCTAAAATTTAATTTTACATCTTATGTTATTATCTCTACCTTATATACTTATTTCTTTTACTGCAGGAAATTTGTCACAGGGATCTGAAGTTGGAAAACACACTATTGGATGGAAGTCCAACACCAAGTGGTAAAATATGTGACTTTGGTTATTCTAATGTTTATGTTTTTAGTTGAATAACAGCTTTGTTGACTTGATAAATGGCACATAACTCTGCTGCTTTCTTACAAGTCTACTTTTTTTTTCCCCGGAAAGAAAAAAACTCAGTACTAAGGGGTTGTAAGTTATAAATTATATCTTACATTATAGTCCTTAGTTTTAACTTTCATTATTGTTTTTGCTTTACATCTTGTAGTCAGGATTGTTGCAATTGAAGGTTTTTGGAGCTGGAGAATTCTAAGGAAAATGTGGCTGTTATGTTGGCACACACACACTCAAGAATGTTTCATGCGGCAATTGTATTTCATTAAACAGAAATGCTGAATATAAACATGGTTTGCACTGCAGTTACACCTACTCTGCAGCAAACTTACAATCAAAAATTAAACAGCCATACTTTGCTAACTACTACAAACACATCACATTACATTAGCACCTAATCAACAGCAGATTCCTAGCTGAATTCACCTAAGATAAACATTATAAAAATCAAAGAAATGCTGGTGCATTACAATAGAAACTAACAGCAACATAACACCAGATTTTTGCTGCCAGAATATGCAGCTCCAGTATTACAAAAAAGTAACCAACTTCCTGAGTTTCCAGCATAATATCATCTTGATCAACACTCCTCCTTGATATTCATGCTGGAAACTCCAAGTTTGAGTCTGAATTCTTCAAACTTGGACTTATTCAATCCCTTGGTCATGATATCAGCAACTTGGTTCTCTCCCAAGCAATGGACTAAGCTGATTTCTTTGCTTTGCTCTGCCTCTCTCACAGCATGGTATTTAATTTTGATATGTCTAGTTCGACCATGGAGAATAGGATTCTTAGCAATTGCAACAGCTGACATGTTATCACAATAAATGGTGGTAGACTCATCTTGATTCAGCCTCAAGTCTGCCAGAATTTTTCTCAACTAGACTGCTTGGTTTGTAGCAGCTGCGGCAAAATGTATTCTACCTCAGCAGTAGATTGGGCAACTGTCTCTTGTTTTTTGGAGAGCCAACTGAAGGCACCATGGTTAACAAAGAAAACATATCCAGAAGTGCTTCTCATGTCATCAACTAAGCCTGCCCAGTCACTGTCTGAATAGCCTATTAAACTGAATTTTTCTACCTTTCTGAACCAGATTCCTAACTCAGTAGTCCCCTTAATGTACCATAGCACCCTCTTTGCAGCCTTGTAATGCATCTCACTTGGCTTGCTCCTGAATTTGGACAGGAGGCTGGTGGTGTACATCAAATCAGGTCTAGTTGCTGTCAAGTACAGCAAGCATCCTATCAAGCTTCTATAGACCCCTTCATCCACCCTCTTGGCACCTCTCCCTTGCTCAGCTTTTGGCTAGGAATCAGTGGAATATCAACTAATTTACAATTGTCCATATTGAACTTCAATAGGACTTCATTTGCATACCTTTTTTGACACACAAATATACCCTTTAAGCTTTGGTATATTTCCATGCCAAGAAAGTAGCTCATTTCACCCAAATCAGTCATATCAAATTCCATCTTCATTGCTCTTTTGAACTCTTCCAACTGATCAAGATTGCTTCTAGTCACTAGGAGGTTATCAACATAAAGAGAGACTATCATCACTTCTCCTCTTTGTTCCCTTACATAAAGGGTGTGCTCATTTGGTCTTCTAGCATATCCTATCTTGCACGAATAGTCATTAATTCTGCTATACCAGGCTCTGGGGGCCTGTTTAAGACCATACAAGACCTTTTTGAGCAGATAGACCTTCTCCTCCTTTCCCTTGACTTCATACCCCTCCGGTTGCTCAATGTAGATTTCCTTATCAAGCAATCCATTTAAAAATGCAGACTTTACATCAAGTTGGAAGATTTTTCAACTAAATTGAGCTGCCACTGCCATGAGAAGCCGAATGGTGTCATGTCTTGCCACAGGTGCAAAGGTTTCTGAAAAATCAATTCCAAATTGCTGTGCAAAGCCTTTAACAACAAGCCTTGCCTTAAGTTTGTTCTCTGATCCATCAGGATTCAGTTTCCTTTTAAATATCCACTTAACTCGTATTATTCTTCTATCAAATGGCCTATCAACCAGCTCCCAAGTTTGATTTTTCTGAATCACATTCATCTCCTCCTGCATTGTAGCCTTCCAGGCTTGAGATTTTACAGCTTCAACATAGCATGTAGGCTCCAATTCAGCCACATTACACCTCTCACATATGTCATGCAAAGAGCTGGTGCCCCGGACTAGCATTTCATCTACTTCTTCAAGATTCAATTCTACATTCTGAATTTCTGTTGGCTTCTAATCCTTCTCTCAACTTGCCTCTTTTCCCAATTCCAAGTAGCTCCTTCATCAACCTTGACATCCCTACTAATCACAATCTTTTTGGAGCTTGGATTGTAAATTCGGTAGGCTTTAGACTGGCTATTGTATCCAATCATGATGCCTACTTCAGCCTTCTCATCCAACTTAGTTCTTTTGTTTGCTAGAACAAACACATAACACACACTTCCAAATACTTTTAAATGATCCACATTTGGCTTGACACCATACCAGGCTTCAAAGGGAGTCTTGTTTTCTAGTGTTTTGGTTGGTAACCGATTAAGAAGATAGATCCCTATGTTGACAACTTCTGCCTAGAAAATTTTGGGCAAATTTTTCTCAATCATCATGCACCTAGCCATTTCCATCACTGTCCTATTCCTTCTCTCACTCACTCCATTTTGTTGTGGACTGCTGAACTGATGCCAAATTCCAGCCCTTTTGCATGCTTCTTCAAACTCATTGGATTTATACTCTCCACCATTATAACTTCTCAAAGTTTTGAGTGTCAAACCTATTTGGTTTTCAACCAACAGCTTGAACCTTTTGAATATAGCAGCTACCTCACATTTTTGGCTCAAGAAATGCACCCATGTCACCCTAGAAAAATCATCTATGAAAAGGATGAAATATCTACTTCCACTTAGAGAAGTTTGCTTTATTGGACCACACATATCAGTGTGCACAAGCTGGAGCTTTTCACTTGCTCTCCAAGCTTTATTTGTAAGGAATGAAGGCCTACTGAGTTTGCCAATTTTGCAGGTTTTGCACAATCCTTCACCTTGGTCTATTTCGGGTAGGTTATGGACAAGGTTTTTGTGTTTAAGTTCCTTGAGGGCATGATAATGAAAGTGTCCAAATCTCCTATGCCACAACTCTGAATCATCTATCCTAGCTAAGTAGTTTTGAAAAGCAACCTTTCCCCATTCTATAGGAAAACCTTTTCCTTGCATTCTAACCTTCATTAATTCAGTCCCATCACTCTCTAAAATAACACAAGTGACGTCCTTGAAATGCAGAGAATAATTTTTCTCTAACATTTGTCCTACACTAAGTAGGTTTAAACTGATTTTAGGCACAAACAATACATCAGCTATGAGTTTAGTACCTGTTTTGGTTTGGACAGCAACATCACCTTTGCCTTTCACCTCCAGCAGTTCACCATTTTCCACCGTCACCTTGGATAGCTAACTCTCATCTAGGCTCAAGAAATTGCTAGCATTTGGGGTCATATGGTTGGTGCAGCCGCTGTTAATCAACCACACTTCAGGGCTGCTTACAACCATGCATTCAGAGACCACAAACAGCTGCTCTGTACTCTCTTCTGTCTGCTAGGAACTTTCTATAGCTTGAGCTTGCTGTTCCTGCTGATTCCCTTTGTTCTTACACACTCTTTCAATGTGCCCAAATTGTTTACAAGACCTGCATTGAATGCTAGGCCTGAATCAACATCTATTTTCAGAGTGGTTCTTTTTCCTGCAGTGAGGACAAGTAGCAAAAATTCTTGCTGCACCCACATTCTTTCCTCCTTGACTACTCAGCTTTTCTTTCCCCTTCTTCTCTCCAATGTACCTCCTGCTTTCCCCTTGAAATCCCTTCTTTTTTTACTTGCAAACATAGCTTCTTTACCCAAATCGTCTTGCCTCAGCAGCTTCCTCTATTCTTGTGCTTGAAGGGAATGCACAAGTTCAGCTAGGCTGATCTGGGACAGATCTTTTGAGTCTTCAAGTGAGGAGATTTTTGCTTCAAATCTTTCGGGCAAACTAACCAAAACCTTCTCCACAATCCTTTGATTAGTCAGCTCCTCCCCAAGCAACTTAATCTTGTTTACAACATTCATTAATCTATCCACATACTCCTTGACATTTTCAGTTTCTTGCATTTTGAGCACTTCAAACTCTCTTCTTAAGTTAAGGATCTGCATGTTTCTGGTTTGGCTACTTCCCCCAAACTCCTCCCTGAACTTGTCCCAAGCTTCTTTAGGAGTATCACAAGCCATTACCCTGGAAAAGACCTGGTCAGTTACTACAGAATGGATGCAGGAGAGTGCTCTTGGAGCCTTTGCAACCTCCTTTTCATGTATCCTAATCTGATTCAGTGTTGGGTTTGCTCTAAGTTGAGGGATTTGTCTCTCTTCCTCCACATATTGCCATAAGGAATGGCCTCTTAAATAGGTCTTTATTTTCACAGCCCAAACATGGTACTGCTCACCATTGAAGATAGGTGGAGAAAGAGATGCTGGATTTGTTGCCATGGAGGAGATCTTAAGGGAGTTGAGGTTTTTGGTCTGGAGGAATACGGTGGCTTTGATACCAAATGAAGGTTTTTGGAACTGGAGAATTCTAAGGAAAATGTGGCTGTTATGTTGGCACACACACACTCAAAATGTTTCATGCGGGAATTGTATTTCATTGAACAGAAATGCTGAATATAAACATGGTTTGCACTGCAGTTACACCTACCCTGCAGCAGACTTACAATCAAAAATTAAACAGCCACACTTTGCTAACTACTACAAACACATCACATTACATTAGCACCTAATCAAAAACAAATTAATAGCTGAATTCACCTAAGATAAACATTGTAAAAATCAAAGAAATGCTGGTGCATTACAGTAGAAACTAACAGCAACAGAACACCAGATTTTTGCCACCAGAATACGCAGCTCCAGTATTACAAAAATGTAACCAACTTCTTGAGTTTCCAGCATAATATCATCTTGATCAACAACACTCACAACCTAAATCAACTATTGGAACTCTAGCATATATTGCTCCAAAGGTTCTGTTATGAAAGGAATATGATGGAAAGGTATTGAGTTTTTATTTTTCATCTGATTTTGTGTGTTCCAGTAAACGCTTGGTTAGAATTGCTGATGGAAGTAGCCCCTCTCAATACACTCCCACGGCAGAAACACTTTAGGCCTAAAAATCAATTCAATTGATTTGCTTTCTTCTTAATCTTGAAGCCAAAGAAGATCTAGCAAATCCCTCTTTGGTTCTTTTGAGATTGTCTTCGTGTGAACTACGAAGGTTCGATCCTAAACTTGGATCGATAGAAAAACATTCGTTGACAAATTTGGAGGAGCCTCCAACGTGCGTTTGTTTTCTTTAAACTTAGATTTATTTTTCCTGCAGATTTTATTTTAATATGAATTGTAAAATTAGACCCTTGATCTTGGCTCATGTAAATGATCTCTATATTATATTTGTTTTGTTTCCACCGCTTATATGGCGTTTACTAACAAGCAGTTCTTGGGAGCAAAAACTTTTAGAGCTTAGGTGTTTCAGGTGATTTCTGAATGAATAATGAGGGAATTTGCCCCTGCTTATGTAATGAACCCAAGAGGTTTGAATTCTAGTAGGATTCTAAATCCTACTAGGTAAAGGAGTGGTTCTTATTTTGGACTACTATGGGCTAGTGGGCTTGACCCAGCTTAGCTTAGCTTAACTTGCAAGATATCCTAACTCATAGAGAGAGTAGTTCGCAAGGTGGATTTAAGCATAGGCCCAACCGAAATTGGGCTAAAGCCTTGGGCCATCATCTGTATATCTTGTCTATTGGGCCTCATCAAACCCAACACAATTTTTGGTCCATACAGTTATATGCTCATTTAAAATTTGCTCTTAAAAATATCAAATTCAACCCCTAAATGAATTCAATTACATTTGTTAGACATAAATATATAACAACTAGCATGTTTGGTTTACCAAACTTAGCATACCCTCGTAGGTTATGAGATAAAGAAAAATTAGTTATAGCAATTGTGTCCCATTAAAAATAGGGCATAATAAAAGCTCATTAAAAGGTTTTTAATATAAGGTAATAAATAAAAATCTAGGTAACCTTTCCCCTTGTGGCTGGATGACGATTCTTTTAGCCATTACCCAAGGGTCTTGTATTCGAGTCATAGGAGAAAACTTACTACGTTTATGTAATTACCTTGGTCCATTGTTTGTAAAGTGTTATGTGGCTGATAAGCGTATTTTACACTATGATTTTGCATTGAATTTTGATAGGATTTAGGATACTTTTCATACAATTTGGGCCATAATTGCTACCTAATTCTATTAATTTGTCTTTGTAGGCCTAAACGATGATTTTTAGCATAAATGACAGTTTTGAGCGTAAATTGTGTAACTTGAGCTTGAAAACTCGGAATAACCTGAATTTAGAAGCGTTGGAAAGCTAAGAAGAAGAGCTACAACGTTCATGTTTTGGGTTTTTCCTAATTCTGACTGGACAAAGGTAAAAACTTGGCTTGAAGTCGTGAAAAGGACGCTGGGAACTGAAGAAAAACGTCTTTGGACGTGCTTTAGTATTTTTGCCATAACTTGAGCTGTAGACCTAGGATTGTGCTGATTCTTGAACTAATAGAAATATTATTTAAATTTCTACAATTCATATGTTTAACACTTCTTCATATTCAGACTCTATCAGGCTCAAATTTGGCCCAAAATGCTTCGCCGCAGTGAGGAAAAAGCTTCGCCGCAGCGAAACCTGCATCAGATGTAAAAATAAAACAACGCATTTTGGCTTGCTAGGGCTTGGTCCTTAAGTGAAAGAGGTATAAATTAGAGCAAAAAGGAAAGAAAAAAGGTCTTGGTTTGTCGTTTGGAAGGCAGCTCATGGAGGGAGAAGATTATTGAAGATTTGGGCTTCAAATGAGAGAAGATTTCTCCATCTTTTGCTTGTTTTTCAATGATGAATCTTGATTCAGTTTGTTTTTGTGTGGATATTGCGTGAATTTGTTTTTGAGTATAACTGAGTTGTTTAGCTAGGGTTTGATGTAACCTTGATACAATGATTCAAATTATATGAATTGATTTACTTGATTTTTAATTTCATGATTGAGTGTTTATCTCTTTGCTTAATGACTTTTGGATGTTTGATCACCATTCAAATGTATGTTGTTCATAATGAGACTGGAAGTGATTTGTGATTGTGCCTCTTGGGATAAATACCGTAGATTAGCAAACGCTAGAGATAGGTTTAGCGATCTATGAATCTAGATAGAATTCCATAAAGCTTAAAGACTTTGAACTATTAATCTTAGTTTGTTGGGTGCGAAGCTTAATAGGGATAAGTAGGGAAATGTAGCCTGAGAAGGTATTTTTTACAACTTAGGGAGTTCGATTTTCAATCAAGAAATTAGAACTTGGGCAATATATTCTATGAATTGGGTTAGCTTATCTAGTGAAATCAACACCCTAACATTTTTTAGCATGTTTAATTAGTTAAGTTGTTGGGTTTTGCTTTAATTTCATATCATTCATTTATTTTTTTTTAATTTGTTTTAGTTATTAATTTTCCATCAATCCAATTTATTATTGCTTTAATTAGGACTTAAACTAGGGAAATCGTTACTTAGTAACACTATCCTCGTGGGAATGATACTGACTCATCACTTATTACTTTGTGTGACTAGTGCACTTGCTATTTATGCATGTTGTAGTTACAACGCATCACTAATCCATTTTTTTTTATTGTTCAATTTTATGCTTTGATTGGATGTTCTTCTATGCTTATTTTCATGATTGTTTCATTTAATTGATAGGAGGTCTACTAGGTTTATTATTTTGTTACAATCTACTGCTAAGTTAGATATCAAATCCGTAATTGTTTGATCCCTCTAACTTGTGAAGCAATTAGGGTTATTAATTTGCTGCGTCAGGAATTAGTAATCTTAAGAGGAACATTCGACTAAATTAAATGCAACCGCTTGAGTTTGTGTTGTTTAGCTTCATCGATCTCTCTAGTTCTTAAGGCTGCCACTAGATTAAATCTTTAGCGCTTGTCTAGGGTTATTTAGTAGTAAGGTTAATTAAGATTGCTTGTTTCCTAATTAATTACAACTAAGGAGGGATAGGAAAATAGTTCCAACGGTGAATATTCAGGTATGAATTGATTTAATTTTGCATCAATGATCAGTTGTAAGATTCCGATGGTGGATGTTGACTAAGACCAAGTTTCGTTATATTAATTGATTTCGAATTGAATTGTTTTTGTTTTTGGCTAAGATTGTTTCCTGTTTTACTCAAAAAACCCCCCAGCCTTATTCACATCATCGAAAATTCGGCTAGACACTCTTCATGGGATCGACCCTTGCTTACCCTATTTACAGTTCAGTAGTTAGGTTAGGAAGGTTTTTAATCTTGGTTGCCTACGACAACACACCACACCTTGATTTTAAAAATTTACCCTAATGTTTGCTATTATATGAAATTATTCATTGTGCTATTGTTTTAATGTGAGAGAACATGTTTCATATAAGTTCAAGATTGTAATTAAAAAAAAAATTAATGTTATATTTTGCTAACTACTACAATAGTTGTGAAATGATGATCAATGTTTCACAAATGTATAGGTTTAGATGGCGTCGTCTAGGCATACAGATTGTAACTAAAATAATACAGATGAAGAAGAAGAAATACTGGTAGATGTAACAGTGGCATTGTGCGCAATTGTCATGTTGGAAACAGACTTCAAAACACACGGACATCAGTTACGACATACATCTGCATTAAATGGTCACAATTACATGATGGAAGTATTAACTGGTCATGATGACAGAATATTTGGGAAGTGTCGCATGGACAAACTCTATTTTACATACTTATGTTACATTTTGGCACAACAAGGAAAATTGCGAGCAACCAAGAGGATGAGTATTGAAGAAAAAGTCATGATATTTTTGACAACCGTAGGGAAAAACGAGACAAACAGAATGATGATAGAGGATTTCCAATATTCAAGTGAGATGATCTCTAGATATGTTGGTGAATTTTGCAAGGCGATATGTGAGTTGAAGATAGAGTTTATCAAACCACCTAACTTCAGTGATGTTTTAGTGGAAATATTGACCAACCGAAAATATTACTCTTTCTTTAAGGTACTTCTTTATTTATTTTTATATTAGTGGGTAGTTAAGTTCATTGTATTATTAATGTTGATAGTCGGTTCATATTATTAAAATTCAATTTTGTTGACAGGATTGTATTGGAGCCATTGATGGCACCTATGTCCATGCTTGGATTCCGTCTCAATTGGCCGATAGGTACTGAAATTGCAAAGGAACGTTGTCACATAATGTAATGACTGTATGCAACTTCAGGATGATGTTCACTTTTTTCGTCATTGGCTGGGAAGGATCTGCCCATGATTCAAGAGTTTTAAATTCAGTTCTTGATAATCCTAATTATGGATTACCACATCTTCCACCAGGTATAAGTAACTTATTTATGTATTATA